ACAACCTCAGATCTTATACATTATCATACACTTTCAGAGATACTATAAAATGGATGGAGTGATGGTGTCTACAATCATGGGGAAGGGAGGGAGCGTGCTCTTCCGTGGAGGGATCTTGGGGAGTGCAAATCCATATGGAAGGGGCCTCGGGTGATTGGGGGCGACTTCAATATAGTCCTGAACAGCATGGAACGCACTAGAGATCATTTTAATAAAAAATGTGCCAAGGAATTTAAAGAGATCCTGGAGAAGCTCGACTTGATTGACCTTCTTCTGATTAGGGGAAGATGAACATGGACCAACCAATACCTATGTTCTGTGTGTTCCAAAATTGATAGGTTTTTAGTTTCTATTGATGTACCTTATAATTTTCATAACCTTTGTCGAAAATGAGTAAGCAAGATAACCCCCGACCATTTTCCCATATGTCTGGAGGCGGATGGCATTCTTTGGGGTCTTTGCCCTTTCTGGTTCGATGTGAAATGGATGAAAGTTAATGAATTCAAAGATATGGTTAATGTGTGGTGGGAAAGCACATGCCCTGCAGATACGCTCAGATTTATTATTGTGCATAAATTCAAGTACACGAAAAAAGAAATTAAGCAGTGGTGTAGAGAATAGGGTATGAAGACTGAGCTTCAAATGAGTGTCATGATGAAGGAAATGAGTAGCCTGGACAAAAAAGAGGAGGAGAGTGCTCTGTTGGCCGAGGAGTGGTTACATAGGGAGACACTAAAAGAAAAAATTGGTGTCTTTCTACAAATGGAAGAGGCTAACTGGAGACAGGAATCAAGGGAAAAATGGGTCGAGGAAGGGGACAGAAATACAAGATATTTCCACTGCCTTACAAGTCAACATAGAAGAAGTAATTTTATTGGTTCGCTTAGGTTCGAGGATGAGGAGATTGAAGGAAACCAAAACTTGAGGGATAAAGCCAGTTAGTACTTTGACAAGTTATTCACAGGAAACATAGAGTGGAGACCTACTCTAGACGGCTTGTCTTTTAATTATCTGGATATTGAAAGCAGTCAGGATATGGAAAAATTGTTTACTGAGGAAGAAGTCCTCGAAAGGCTGAAAGATTGTAACAGAGAAAAGGCATCTGGTCCTTCCCTATGAGCTTCTTACAGGACTTCCGGCCGGTGATTAAGATGGACATGATTAAACTGTTTGAATATTTTCGAAGGACTGGAAAATTTGTAGAGTCTATTAACTCCACGTTCATCATCCTTATTCCAAAAGTGAGTGGCGTAACTACAACTAAGGAATTCAGACCTATTAGTTTGGTTGGTAGTGTATATAAATTGATTGTTAAAGTTTTGGTTAAAAGAATGATAAGGGTTTTGGACAGCATCATTGGGGGACTTCAACATGCGTTTGTTGGGGGCAGACAAATTTTGGATGCAGCACTTATAGCCAACGAATTAGTGGATGAACTACTAAACAAAAAAAAAACGGTGTGTGGTGCAAGTTTGACATGGAGAAAGCCTATGACAATATAAGTTGGTCCTTTGTTGATTATATGCTCAGAGCCTTGGTTTTAGAGTTAAATGGAGGAAATGGATCACCACTTGTATTACCTCTATCTCATATGTTGTGATTGTCAATGGTGGCCCCTCAAAATTTTTTAGGCCATCTAAAGGGTTGAGACAAGGGGATCCCCTGTCACCATTCCTGTTCATAGTGGTAACGGAAGCTCTTAACAGAATGATCCTGAACGCCAGAGAGCAGAATTTATTTCATG